GCCTTGGTGCTAGACTACTACAAATATGGGTTTGAGCATCACTGGTTTAGGTTTTTGACTTTTTTTCAACTCATTTTTCTTCTTTTCTTCAACATAACAACTTGCATAAAAATTTAATTCATGAATTGGTTTTTTAACTCAAAAATTTATTCAAAAATTTTATCAAATTTAGGTAAAAATTGTATAAAATATAATAAAAATCTAACACGTCATCCAAACTCCTAGACAAGTGCATTTGAAGACAACATATCATGTTTTCAAGTATTTGAAGCAAGAATCATCTTTATGCTTATTTTTTCTAGCTACAAATACTTTTACAATCATATATTATTATTATTCAGATTATGAAGTATACCTAGAGATTCGAAAATATCTTATTGAGAATTGTGTGTACTTGAGATCTTCACTAATTTCTAAAAAGGTAAAGAAGCATACCATCATTAGTTGTAGTTCAACAGAAATAGAATATAGATCCATGGCCATGATTATCGTTGACCTACAATAGATTTTATACATTCTTCAAAAATTGAAAGTGTCTTATTTTTTACCAATAGATCTCAAGTGTGATAATAAGACAACAATGCATATAACTGCAAATCTAATGTTTTATGAAAGAACGAAACAATTGGATATTGATTGCTATCTGGTTCGAACAAAGATAAATGAGGACATCATTGCACCAACATATGTTAGCTCGACAACTCAAGTGGCTGACATATTCACCAAACCACTCTCATTTCCAGCTTTTTAGAGTATTGGCTCCAAGTTGCCTTTCACAGTTGTCCACCAAAGAACTTGAGGGGGTGACATTGGTCAAGTTAGTTAGTTAGTTAATACTTAATTACTTTTCTATTAAACACGTTGTTAGAGTTAGTAAGGACATCTGTATTCTCATAAATAAATTATATATCTATCTTGTTTAAAAAATAAAGAATGAAGAATTCTCTCAAGATTTCTTAATTTTCATTTCTTGCCTATCATTTGCACTTTCTCTACTTCAAATTATCCTGTGAATTTGTTCTTGTTCATCTACTCCATCATATTCTTCATAAGATCAACATAAAACAACTTATATTTCGTTACATATAATCAAACACTCAGCTATAAATCACTCATTAAGTAATAAAGATGAATTTGTAGATATATTCAAATGATTTATTATATTCAAAAAGTATCTAATAATTTTTACATTATTCAATTTATGATCTAATTTTGGACAATTAGGTACCTAACTAAA